GACTTCTTGACAGCCGTGGTGAGCTTCATCACTGACACGTGGGTATCAATGTCGCTGGGATGGTCTCAGGGAGGAGGAGCCGCTGAGATTTAATGTCATTTCAGCCTTCCTACTCTGAAAACCCCCACGACCCCCATTGCTAGGAAGACGCTTGTCTTGCTGGTCTTCAAATGGAAGAACAAAGTCTCTGACTCAGCCTCCCAGCTCCTGGCTGACCTCAGCCTCCAGGAGGGGGGCTCGGCCCTGTGGGACGGGCCCCTGGGCCACTCAGCCTCTCACTTGCCGGGCTCCTGCCCTCCCTGCTCTCGTGGCGTGCGTCTGTGGCCACACAGCAGCCTCAGGAGCTGAGCTTCCTCCGGGCCCTGTCCTTTGCCACACTGGGGCCCCCACGCTGGTGTCCTTCGTGGCATGTCCCTTGGCCTCAGCCCGTCGGGGCATATCCGTGCTCCCTCCAGCTCCTTGACCTCCATCAAGTCCTCAACCAACCTGAGATCACCGCTCCCTCACTCTGATGTCCCCCCAGGACCCCTACAAGCAAGGGCTGCACCTCCTAATCCACATACTCTCAGCCCCGGTCAGATGTTGGGCACACAGCAGGGAGGAGGGGAAAGAATGAGGCAGTTTCCTAGAAGGGGCGTCTGCCTTCCTGTGGGTGGCCTCCAGCTCCTCACTGACGAGGGCTGTGAGGAGCACCTGTGTCTCTTCCTCTTCTTCTGCAACCAGGCGGAGGATGGGGAGAAGATTTGTGGGGCCTTTGGGGCCCTAATATTTCTAACCAGAGAAAGAAATTGCTGCTCGTTTCTGAGTGCTTCCTGACTCAATCCTTTGGCAAACTGTGAGGGAAGCCACAGGTAACTCAGCAGCACGGGGGGCAGTCAGGCAGAGCAGACCTGGAACTGATCCCTCCAACAGGAAGACGCAGGAGAAGCGCTGCCCCAGTTCCAGCAGAGTTGAGAAGGTGGGCAGGACACCGTGCATGGGATTCTCAGGGCTAAACTCCAGAGCCCAGGTATTGCACACCTGAGCCCCAGGTGCTGCACACTGGGTTGTCTGGGGTGCTGTAGGTCTGACACCTGCCTGACAACAAGTGCCTTTGCTGGAGAACTCACATTCCACACGGTGTGACAGTCTGTGAAGCACTGTCACACACCTTGACCATGTGACTCTCAGTACAGTCCTGTGAGCTGTCATTTCCAGTTTACATATAAGAACACTGAGTCCCAGGAAGGTTATTTGACTTGCCCAAGAGCATCTGTTAAGTAAGTGATAAAGCCAGGACTCAGCCCAGGCCTCCGAGCCTCGTGCTTTCTCTGCCTGAGCCGCTCACCCTTCTGGTGGGAGCAGAAGCTGGCATACACCCTGGGAAGAGCTCATAGCCTCGTGGCCAGAGGATTGGAAATGAGTACACTCCATACGTTGACCCATGGAGTACCTTCTGGGAGCCATCCAAATGACATATCCCAGACTGTGGGAAAACAAGGTGTATGTACAAATGCACAAAGATGTTCGCTGCTTTCTTGTTTATTGAGAATATATTATATCCTGAAAACCTGAGAACCCCTAAAACATTCAGCAGTAGGAAGTAGCGCAGCATGTTCAACCAAGCAAGTTAAAACAGGCATGAGTTCCTGCTGTCAGCTGTCTGCAGGGTGCAAGCTCCCGCCACCCTCACGGGAGTCCCACACACCCCTGGGTGGAAGAGAAGTATATTTAAAGAAGAAAATCTCATGGGTTGGATACACTGGCCAGGTGTTGGCCTCTGACAACTCACTTAAGGCTCTTGAAGCCTGGATGTCCTCCTTTGTAAAAGGAGAAGGTTAATCCTAAATTGGCCAAAATTGTAGTCTGCGTATATCTGCAGAGCTGAGCACCATGGGGGAGAGGACAGGAGGGCCAGCGGATGAAGGGCAAACACGGCTCCCGACAACCCGGACGCCAGAGGACCTCGACTTCCTATATGCTTCTTAATTTATTGTAACTTAAATTGAATTTCTGAGACACTGAATAATGTCCTCTGGCTCGAGATCACCTCCGGACCACCCTCATGGTCCTCCCTGGGCTTCCGTGTGTTTGTGAGAAAGGAGACTGCAATTCCTCGAGAGAGTTGTGACAGGACCAGCTGTCCCTGTCCTCTGCATGTGTCACTCACCAAGCAGGGAACGTTCTAGAAGACAGAGGTGCCCCAAGGTTCCAGATCCTGGTGCCATGTTGGCTGTGGGTGTGGAAACCCTCTCAGGGATTCTCATTGCTCACCACAAAATCAGAGCAGAGAAGGTGAACAGTGGCCACTCTCCAAGGCAGTGGGCTGAGGTCAGAGTTCGTGGTATTGGGGAGAGGTGGACGTGACGCCTGAGGCCTCTGCATCTTCAGTGGGTGATCAGGGACAAGTGCAGAAGCCGCTCCACACAGGAGTTTCTTCTGTAGAGACAGAGATGGCTCTGCAGTGGCGGTCACGGTGCAATTGATAAGCTCCTCTGCAGAGTGGCACCATGCCCATGGCTGAGAGTGTAGCTCCAGGGAACAACGTGTGGCCCAGATAGCACTTAGCCTGTCTCTGGGCTACCTCCTTCCGTCCCAACAGCGATGGCACCTGGTCCCTCTGCCTGGCAGCTTCGGCAGATCTCCTAACACTGCCTTAAATGTGCAAAGTGCTTCGCAGTTTAGAAAGTGCTCCCTGCCATCCAACACTGGAAAGGCGATTGGTCCGAGTGCCTTGGCTAGTGGCTCATCCAGTACTCAGACCGGAGGTGATGTCACCCGCCCCGCTGTCCTTGACCCACACGCTGACTTCAGATGCAGGACTCTTTCCTCAGCAGAAAGAAAACTCTTTCCCTGCACAAAGCCGAGTGGCCTGCACTGCTGAGAACTACCGTGGCTTTCTGAGGCCACGACACTCAACACGTGGCTGGTGTTGGCCTCCACCCTGCTCCACCGACCAGCCCACCCAGAGGTCACCAGGTCACGAGCACTCACATGGCCTGGCTGTCTTCCCTGCTTCTAAGATAAGTGTTTCCACCAGTTAAAACAAAAACAAGGAAGGAAATAAAGTAGGTCATTATATTTTTAAATGTGTGTGTGTGTGTGTGTATAAAGCACAGAATACGTCATAATAATAAATGTAGTAAGTAGGCAGACAGAAAGATGTTTTTAAATATAAAGATACTTTCACCTTGGTGTCTCATTTTCCTGTTTCTGTAATGAGCTGTGAGGATAACAGCATCCCCCTTTAACAATCGAGTACTTTTTATCCGTGAGCCAACAAAAACACCAGCTGCCCCAGAGACTCCCATCACCCCTCCCTGACCCTACCTCTGATGGTGGGCAGCAGTGCAGGTGGGGTCTGCCCTCCATGGAACGTGGGGCCCCCTGCAGGCTCCCCTGGTCTGCATGCCACCACTGTCTCTGCCCAGGGTTTAAACTTCTTTCCCTCGCTTTGATGAAGCATGGGGGGAGGCGAAGTGTCCCCTGGTGGGCGCCATCCTTCTCCTCCACCGTGGGTGTGGATCACAGTGCTGGCCCCGCCCACCAGGTCAGCCATGTCCAGTTCCTCCAGGCCAGGAGTGGAGCCTCTGGGCACCACGGGGGTATGCTTCAGGGTTCGGCGTTTGAGACTCAATGGTTAAATTCAGTAATAACACCACAATTTCACCAAAAAGCATTATAGTGATTACTGAGTTATATTAGGAGCTTATTTAAGATAACATCTTATTTGCACAACGTAGTTCAAATAGATGGTTAGTGCAGCCAGTGCGATTGTTAAACTCCTTATGTACATTAGCATAATCACTCTGCAAGGGCTTCGCTGCTTTAAACATATGAGCAGCTAGAACCGAAAGCATAAATATATGTCTCTTAAGGTGGTGGCACAGTTGGAATAAGAGGGTTTAGGTTTGCGTGTAAACAGGAATTTAGTTGTCTCTGGTGCAGTACGGTAGGTTGTAAGCCTCCTCCAAGTCAGCCCTCTGCAGCAGCGAGCCCAAGCAACTGCACTTTATTAATAATAGTAGTTTCTGCTTATCAAAGTCCTCCTGTGTGCCAGGCACGGTGCCACACCTTATGTGACCATTCCAGGTGTCTTATTCTACCACACTTCCATGAAGTAAATATTATCAGCCCCATTTTGAGAAGACAAGATCAGGGGTCCACATGGTTAAATGACGTGTCTGAGGCCACTTGGCTGGAGGAGCATTCAGACCTAGCTCCCAGGTCTGGCCTTCTCCCAGGCTCCCGGCTTCTCCCCAGCCAGCATCAAGGCAAGCAGAGGTTCGGCTGGATCCCACCCAAGCGGCAGACAGAACAGAGGTGTCCGTCTGCATTTGTCCTCCAGGTCATTGAGTGCTCACCCCCAATTCTGCACCCAGAGCTTCGGCTGCCACAGAGCAAGCTGGACCAAAGCCGAACCTCCCAGCCGGGACGGGGCGAGACACGTTCAGGTCCTGTCCTGGGCTGTGCTTTCTGCCTCCCTCTCCTTGGGACTGCAGCGCTGGGCAGACACACAAGGACCCCCTGCTGATGAAACCCACAGGTGCAGTTTGCAATGCAGCCTCCAAAACTCTCCGGGGTCCTGCACGCTGTCATGTCCTGCAGCGACCTCTGCTCTGAGATGCCCAAGCCACTGCTGGCTGCTTAGGGTCCTCTGCACACATGTCCCTCCTCCTTGCCCGGAAGACTGCTTTCTGTGAAAGAAAAACAGGATTTCTTCATTCCCGCAACACAGGAGACGTGGGGCTGGCCTGCGGGTGCCTCCATCAGGGGCAGGCCTGAGCCCAGCTCCCCAGCTCCCCGGCTCCCCACTCTCCGGGCCCCGACGAGGGCACGCACACTTTCCAAACGTGAACTTCTCCAGAGCCAAGCCTCGCCTATGCCACCTCCCTACAACAGGGGCCAGCTACTCTCTGAACTTAGGGGAAATGCTAACCCGTGACTACAGTTACCAATTTGAACTTGACCCCGACCTTTGGCAAGTACATCACAGGGCTAGAAATTCACCAAGACACCAGTTATACACTATATAGTATAGTTCATTGAGTATTATATTTCACACGTGATAAAAATTTATGTAATACAGCCCACTGAATACATCAGAGGAACAGTAAATCTGCTATTTCAGAAGCATTTTCTTTCAGGTGCCCTGAACACTCCAGGGTGCGGGCAACTCCATCTTCCTGGGCACAAATGTGGCCCAGTGTTAGAGTCTGTAAACAAGTCAGGATGGCGCCTGGCAAATGTTAGAGTCTGTAAACAAGTCTGGATGGCGCCTGGCATTTTGCCAGAGGGAGTGGTTTGTGAAGTAAGGCCAGCGAGCCATGAAGTGTGCAGATTCCTTATTGGTTGACTGCTGTATCGAGTTTATGCTAATTAGATAAGCTCTGTGGAATGTATATATACCGCTCCTGTCCTATAATAAACGGCTCCCACTCCTGCTGTATCAATCTACACAAGTTCTTCGTCACCCCCCCCCCCCGGGTTATTTTGCTGCAGCCGGACTGCGGCACCAGGGGAGGCCCTGCTGGCCCTTACCCAGGAGGCTCTGCACTCTGCACACTGAGGGCTGAGTACAGAGGTCAGCTCCCTGGTGGGCACGCAGGGGGCAAAAGGGTTCTGGAGCCAAGAAATACCCAGCTGCTTGTCCTTGCTGGGATGACCAGTGCAGTCTCCATTGCTCTCTGGAGGTATTGGCAGGATAGGCACAAAGCTGGGGATGACCCGCCGTCATCAGCCTCCTCCCCTTCTGTTAGGTGTTGGGTTGTGTTCCCCAAAATGACACATCGGAGTCCTAGCCTCCAGTACCCCAGGTGGGGTCTTTACAGAGGGGATCCGGTTAGGATGACGTCTTTAGGACCCTAATCAGACATGACTGATGTCACTATAAAAAAGGGAAATTTGAACCCAGAGACAGACAAACAGAGAGAGAAGACCGTGTGAAGAGACCCAGGGAGACGTCACATGAAGATGGACAGTCAAAGGTCACAGCTACAAGCCAAGGATCGCCAGAGGCTGCCAACCATCCAGGAGGGGCTGGAACACGGCCCCCTGGGCAGTCCCTCGGAGGGAGCAGGGCCGTCCAACCTTGACTCCAGACGGCCAGCTCCAGGATTGTGAGAGGGATTCTCTGTTTCAAGCCCTCTAGTCAAAGGCCCTGTTCCGTGGCCCAGACCCTAACCTGCCTCGCCTGCCTTACTTCCTACCAGTCTCCACGAGGGTGTCTCCCCAGGTACAAGCTAAAATCTTTGTCTCCACATCTACTTCCAAACCAAAGCAGCCCTGAAGTCCCGTAAGTTTAGCTTCTAAATCAATATAGAGACATTCACAAGTTAGTTCTTCGTAGGATTGGAATGGGTGCGGCTGTGGCTGCAGCTCACAGGTGAGCAGGCCGGCTCAGTGGGTGCCAGTTCTCTCCCGAAGTAGGGACAGGGTGACCGCTCTGTCCAGGGTTGAGAAGGCAAGGCTGGGCGGAGAGTCACAGCCCTGAGGACAGAAGGCAGCGGGCAGCCAGGGCTGCCGGTGCACGGTGCCTGTGTCCACAGCCACAGGAGGATGGGCACAGGCAAAGTCTTCAGGGACACCCAGGCTGCGGAGCTCCAGGCCAAGTCAGGGCCCTCCCTCAGATTGCCCTGCAGGACTTCCAGCTGCTCCTTGTCTAAGGAAGGAGACGAATTCCTACATCAAAAGTGATGTTGAATGTTCTAGAAAAAGGAGGGTCCCAACAGAGGCAGGTCCTGTTCTGCTCCTGACCACCCCAACTTCGACCGCTCCCCCTTCAGTCGGATGCTGGCTAGACCAGAAAACTCCAGGGGCCTGCAGCTCTTCCAGGCTGTGGCCTTGACCCTGACAGCAGGCACAGGTAAAGGACCCCTCCACGCCCCATCTCCCCCTTGGCACAGCGGGCTCCCACCGCTCACAGAGCTGTGCTTTGTGAGTGTCCAAGGAGATAATGGTCACACTGCCCCAGCCCTGGCGGCCAGCACCTAGGAGACCGAGAAGGGGCGCCCCACCTCCTTTGCCCCAGGCCCTTCTCCACGCTGGTCCCTAGGGCTGCAGCCACAGGCAGGGCTGTGAACTTCCAGAATGGCCCTCAGCCTGCACATCTGCACTTGCCTTCTCTGCTCTGCTCAGAAGAAACCCTCAGACTCTGGACTCATCAGGAATGAAGGGCTGGTTCCTGCTGTCTCCTGGCCTCAGCCCCAGCTGCTGGTGACCAAATTGGGGCAGGAGACATCATCATGGACTATAAGGTTTTCTACTCCAGCAGCTGCTATGGATTCCACAGACCCCTGTCACTTCCCACCACTGTTCAGAACCAGAGGTGGTCAGCAGAGGTGACAAGAAGGCCCAGCTCAATAGGTACAGCAGGGCAAGGAGCTTCCCCACAGGGGGGTTGTCTTTAGGCTGTCCCTCTTGCTGTGGCCTTGCAGGAGCCTTATGGATGACCACAACAAAATCACCTCTCCCCACCTGGGCAGGTCAGAGCCAGGAAGGGTTCACACAGGATGGGCCTTGGGAACTAGAAGCAACCAGTGATTTTTAGTGATGTGCACCCAACTCTGAGTTTGGAGAAGAATTTTAGCCATGTGAGCCCCCTCATCTGGAGGTATCAGCTACTGAGGCTGCATAGCAGGATACTTCGGGCTCCAGGCTTCGGCCACAGATATTTACTTTTCACCGCTCTGGAGGCTACATGTCCAAGATCAAGGTACCGGCTGATTCAGTTTCAGAGGAGCTTCTGGCTGGTTTGCAGACGGCCACATTCTCACTGTGTCCTCCCATGGCCCTTCCCCAGTGCCTGTATGGAGAGAGGGAGAGGGAGAGAGCATGCACCTGACATTTCCTCTTTATAAAGACACAAATCCATTTGAAAGTTTCAGTAATAAAAGTGATCTTTCAGTATCCCAAAAATAAATACATAAATAAAGACACAAAGTCTATCTGACAGGGCCCCACCCTCACGACCTCCTTTAACCTTAATTTAACTTCTTAGAGCCCCCGTCTCTAAGTAAAGACACACTGCACATTAGGGTTTCAACACAGGAGCTGGTGGTGGTGAGGGGTGCAGAAACATTCAGTCCCTAGCCCTGGGGACCTGGCTTGTGCCATTGCAGGGGTTACAAAGCAAGAGGCAAAGACAGACACAGAGCCAGGCTGGTAGGTTTGAGCTGGGTTTTTACAAAGTGCTGAGTCCTCTGTCCTCCCTGCTAGCATGCTCTGCACAACACAGCCACCATGTAAAAAGTGCCACTCGATACCACCAGACACACCAAAGGACACTCGCACACATCCCAGTGGCTCTCAGCAATGTCGCAGCCAGCCATTATCCCATCTCCTAAATTCAAAACTGAGACAGAAGAGGAAAAAGTGTCACACCTGGCTGGCCAGGGACAGAATTGGGATTTGATCTGAATCCAGCAGCATGGCTCAAGGGCGAGGCATGGGACAGGAGAGAAGGATGAAAGGGACTCACTTGTGGGGCATCTCAGGTTGGCGAGACGTACTCCCCACTGCCAAGTGCACTGAGATGGACAGAGCTTCACCTGACGCGGGAGGAGTGCATCTGGGAGCGCTTTGGAAGAGGCCAGGGTGGGTCTTGAGCAGGAGCCAGCCAGGGGAAAGGAAGGGAGGAGGCAGGAGGCGTGGGCTGGTGTGACGAGGAGAACCAGCCAGGTCTGAGCAGGGCGCCACCCACAGCTCTGCAGCTCAGGAGGCCAGGGTCCTCCAGAAGAGGCTGGGCCCTCTGTGTCATCAAAACAAGAGACATGATCTTTGTCCTGAGAGGATGGGGCAGGGCGTCTCTGCCCTGGGATGTTCCGCCAGATGTCAGAGACATCCCTGACGACCCAGGGCTGGATGGGAAGAGGGGAAACAGCTGGGGATCAGGAGAGAAGGGGCAAGGCCGAGAGCAGCTCGGGGCAGCAGAGATGGGGAGAGGGTTAGGATCAAGAGGGGTCAGAGGGCAGAGGGATAGTGAGACTCCAAATGGCTTGGGTGTCATATGAGAGAGACCAAAGAATGTGCGCTGCTCAGCTGCTGCTGGCACGACCCCTGGGGAGTGTCTGCTCCCTGAGCAAGAGAACCAGCTGGAGGCAAAGTGAGGCCACCATGCAGCCTCGCAGGCCTCTGCTCCAGCCCCAGCTCCGCCAGCTCAGCCGCACACCTGGGGCAGGCATCTCAGTCCACCTGTAAACAGGAGCGCAGTTCCAACCCACAGGGCTGCCGTGGAGACCCAGCGAGAAGCACGCAGAGCAGGGGCGCGATGTCTAGCACCCGACGGACACTGACAGGCGCGGCTACTCGTATTTGGCACATCGACGTTACATTCTCCCTCGGAACGCAACTCATTCGTACCCTGAGAGAAAGCTTCTGCACTAGGCGTACCTATAAAAAGTCCTGATTGACCGTCCTGGTCTTTCAAATACCACTGTATCTGGGGTGTCCTCCAACTTCCAATAACAGAAAGATCTGGAGAGAAGCCATTCCCAAACTCTCCTGAGTTGGGTGCCCCGTCCCCATCTCACAGTCAGTGCTGCCCCTTGGACTCACTTCTGCATCCACCTCCTCTCCTGCCGGGAGGTTCTCAAGCCAGGGCGGTGCCACCTCTTCCTCCCTCCCTAGCTGCCTGCACAGGGCCAGCACATGGGGCCTGAGCAGACGTGCACTTACTGAGTAGAAGTCACCGAGTTTTCCCCTGGCTGGTGATTTGAGTGTGAGTTTCCATTTGATTCCTCTGATAGCCAACCAAAGGAGGATTTTAAACTGATAGACACACCTGTGTTCAGCATACAGGGGAAATTCACCCAGCTCCTTGGTGATGGTTTTGGATTGGTAAGTTTTATTAGAAAAATAAGAACTATCAGCAAATTAAACACTCATGGGCAATAGGCACAGCACATGCAGAAGGCAAGTACACAGTCTCTCATTTTACCCTTGGCCCCAAGAAGTAGGTAGGGCTGGCCCCATTTTACAGATGAGCAAACTGACACTCAGCAAGTCTAATTTGCTAAAGGTCATGCAGTGCAAAGTGTTTATCTGCATTTGAGACCAGGAAAGTGACTAGTGTCTGTTCTAGGAATTAGGGACATTGACGCCGAGAACACTTGAAAATAGCCCCATGCATTTTCCCATTCTTGAAACAGGTTTACTAAGCAGGAATGGAGCTAAAAACAATCCAGCAAAATGACTCAGTTCCTAACAAAGTGTCATTTCTGTCCCTTTGCTGGGACAACCCCAGCAAAGCCCGCACAAGACAGAAACAGAAAGAGGCAAACGGGGGGACAGAGACAGAGAAGAGAAAGGAAAGAGAGGATGTATCAGCACGAGTGCAAGAGCCAGAGAGATTTCCTCTCTCCGCCCTGCAGCCCCAGCTGGCTCACTACAGCTAAAATGCCCCTGTAAAATCAAGGGCCGGCCGGAGGGCTCGTTTCCTGTCTTCTAAACATACTCTTGTTTCGATGATATCTCAACCCTGCGTCACGGATGTCTCAGGAACACCTCAACCCAAAGGAAACTGGGTGTAGAAAGTTAGGCTTCCTAAACAGCTTCAGGAACGGTGTGCTCAGGAGCTGCACAGACACAGCAAGGCTGCCGCCTCCTGCTCCTCCTGCTCCTCCTGCTCCTCCTCCTCTCTTGCTGCTCTTGCCCTCCATTTCCCTCTTCCTCCTCCTCCCCTTTCTCCACTTCCTCCCCCTCCGGCTCCCTCCCTCCTCCAGAGCACCTCCAGTTCCCAGGTGGGCAGCTAGGCAGCCCAGCACACAGCTCTCTGTGAATGTTATCAGAGGAAACACTTGAGAAGCAAACAGAAACCACTCTTCACCTGCTGTCACACCGCTTCCTCTGGGCCCCCAACCTCCACCCAGGTGTCCCCATGGGAAGAAAGGGCCCATTCAGGACTGTAGCTGGTGGTTCTTTCATGGAGTTCCTCAGACAAGGCGGGAATGGAGGTCAGACAAGAGGAGGCAGCAGAGCTTCACAGCAAACCTGAGGCTCAGAGCAGGGCCACCTGACGTCCACGCTTCAGTGCCCTGCTTCTGTGGCCTCTGGCAAATTGCACAGCCTGCAGCCTGTGTGATCACCTGTGCATGGGGTCACTCAGACTGACTGCCCAGGCTGTCAGGAGGACGGAGCGAGGTATTGCCTTGGGTCACAAACGTGATGCGAGGCGCACATTGAGACACCCAGTGCCCAGGACACTCACTGATCTCCACTGATGTTTACAGCTTCCCTGCCACCGCCGCTCACACCCAGCACCCCAAAGGCTAGGATCCGCAGGCTGCTGCCCGCCTCTCCCTGGGACCAGCTGGACACCTGCGACACCTGCCACCCACAGGCAGAGCCTTGCACCTGGCCCTCGGAGCCTCTGGGACCTTTTCCCATGACCACATCTGACCAACTGCTGCTCCCACGTCACCCTGCCTGGTCACACTTGGTTATCATCAATTTAATTGTCTTTTCCCCAATAGACTTCAAGTCCTCTCAGCCCAGAGCCAGGGCTAATTAGTGGTTAATCGTGGTGGTTGGTGTCTGTTGATTCTTGCACCTAAAATAGCATCTGGCACCACGAGGAGCTGGAGAGATGTTCACTGGGTAAACACCAGTGACCACTGTCCACGCTGCTCCTCCAGCTGGACACCGAGGCTCGGAGAGGAAATGGAATCTGCTCGATGCCACAGAGTCCCACCTGAGTCCTGCCACCCTCAGCATCCTCCGCCACATGGTGGAAGCCCCGGAGTGGTAGTTAGTGGCCATGGTCCCCAAGGGCACAGTGGAGCAGAGGCTGGGAAATGGAGACTCGGAAGGTGCCGATGCCCAGCCTGGCGGAAAAGGACGCTGGGTGTCACCGTGAGGGTGGATCCCCGCAGTCTCCTTGCACACGACGTGAAGCAGCCCCCTGCTCAGAGGCCAGCTGGGAGGCAGATGCTACAATAGCTGGGTCCTATTGATCTCTCGGGCGCACGCCAGGGTCCGTTCCTGGCACCTACGGTGAAGAGCCTGTGATCCTTCGATCCTTGGAATCACCTCGTCACCCTCGACAGCACTTTGTAGATGAGGACGCTGAGGAGGCTCCAGGAAGATGGGAGGTGGTGCAGGGCGTGGCAGCCACCAGCTGTGGGACCTCGGGGCGGTCTGGATGGGAAGCCTAGTGGTCCCTGCCAGGCTGGTCCTGAGGCCATTCCTCTGGAGCACTGAGTGCCCACCGCTCCAGCCCTCTCCTTCCTCAGAGAGGTCACCGCCTCCTCAGGTGGCCCCTGCCCTCGCTCTCCAGGTGCTTGGACTGATGGGGAGATTTGCCAGTGGGCACAGGGGGCACCACCTAACTCAGTGCAGTGCTGAGCCTAGTTGTGAGCGCCCCTTCCCCCCATGCCCTGGTGAAGTCCTGGGCCAGCATCTGACCATGGAAATGGATACGCTGCTAACCCGGGCCTTTGGGCTGGGGGGAGGGGGTGTCCCTTGCTAAACATTCACCCGCATTCCTCTGAAGCCAGGGGCAGCCAGGCAGAACAGGATCTGTCCCACACCCTCCAGTCCCTCCCTGGCCTCCTCTCCATACCAGGGGACCCAGCGAGGGCCTGGGAGGCTCCTGGTGGACGTATCCTTGCTGTGGCTGAGAAGCCAAGCCACAAGGCACCTGTCACAGCCCTACCATCAGCATCAGCGTGGGGCTCTCAGCAGCACCCCTAGAGCGGCAGAGCCGGGGGAACCCTAGGTCCCTCCCCCCGGAAGGGGGCCACCCCTGGCAACAGCAGCTGGGCCCGGCCTTGAAAGTCCCGGGGCCAGCATGCCACCAGACACGCC